TTTGGGAACTCAATCACGCTTACCTGATTATAGGATCAGCATTCATGGCTTCTTTGATCTATGCTGCATATTTGATTTGCTGCAAACCACTCAATCGTGTTTTGGTGAGTTTTTCTGCTATTTTTTTAAGGAGAAAACGATATAATTCTGACTAAATCTTCGCTAAGTTTTCGCTTATACTTCCACTTCTTGTATCGTTCGATCTGAACACGCTTGATTTTGAATAAGGGCATTCAAAAAACTGAGGGGTAAATAATAATTGTGAACGCTGAAAAGCGGCAAATAAAGTGTTCTGTCCACTCATTCATTCAATAATAAGGGAAGGAGTAATCCTCTGTCAATTTGCTAAGGTATTATTTTTGACTGGAACCCTGATTTGAAAAATCTTTGATCAACTGTTGAAATTTTAAACCGACGTTTGGATCTAACCTCACAAGAAATAATTTGTCAAAATAGAATACAACTTGAACACGGCTGTGACTTCTCCAAAATCGACTTCTTTAACGATCTTTAATTCGTTTGGAATTCTTCAGCGCTCGGATTTTTAAAAATTCAAGAAAAGGTTTTTATTTGTGGTTTGCTGTAAATTTAGACGCGCTGTGTATAGATAACTATTAAAATTTTTGTATTAAAATGATGTACAGTAGTTATATTGAATTTAATAATAGAATTACAGTTGGTTAGTCGTGGTGATGTCAATCTCGGACGCATAAGACTCTACAAGACCGACAAAATACATGTGACGAAAGGCGGATTTAAAATGATATTCCTGAAAATGTTTCAGCCTTATGAAGCAGTTGGATTTGAACACCTGAAGAGCGAAAAAATGACATCAAAAGAACGAGCTTTCAGAGTGAATCAAATGAACAAGAAAAAAGAGCTCGGGGAAATTCCGCCTGTGTTTCCAAATGGCTGGTTTGCGCTAATGGAAAGCAACGATTTGGCGAAAAATTCCAGCAAATTCATCCAAGCTTTAGGTACCTTATGTCCCATTTTTCTGGCGTCAATTTGTACATTTTTTGTCAATGAGAAAATCGCACTGAATAATCATCCTTTGGGTTTTTTTTTTTTATCCCGAAAGGTGAGAATTTTGCGGTATTTCGAGACGCTGATGGAGAAGTACATGTACTTGATGCGTACTGTCCTCATTTGGGAGCAAACTTGGCCATTGGAGGCAAAGTTCGAGGCAATTGCATCGAGTGTCCTTTCCACGGCTGGCTGTTCGATGGCAACTCTGGCCAGTGCACATCTATTCCATATTCTTCCTCAAAACGTTAGTAAATTTAAAGTAGTACTTTCAATTCATTTTTTTTAAACTTATATTATCCCTTAATGCTGATTTTCGCAGCTCCGGTCCAGGCAAAGGTAAAATCTTGGCCTTGCGCCGAAAGCCTCGGGTTCATCATGGTTTGGTACCACGCTGAAGCCGAGGAACCATTTTGGCAACCACCACAGATCAAAGGGGTATCTGATGGAGAATTTTCATTTTGCGGAAGATCCGAACATTACATCAGCACTCATATTCAGGTATGATAGGGCAAGAAATGCAGCTTTTATCGAAATTTTGAGAGCAAAATTTTGGACAACATGTTTCCAAGAATGTAAAGATTTCATATACTGTACAGTACTGTGCATTTGTGCTCTTTTTTATATGCAGCGCATTTATTATTCCTAATTCGTCCGCGCATTCCTGAAAATCCGGTTTGATGACTGCAGGGACATCTCTCATTGATTATTATTTTGCGTTGTACAGGATTTACCGGAGAATGGTTCANCTCATTGATTATTATTTTGCGTTGTACAGGATTTACCGGAGAATGGTTCAGATGTCGCTCACCTGAATGTGCTACACACCGCAGGAATTCCCGCGGGACCACGTTTGGTTGATTTGCATGGATTCCTTAGCAAGATTTTTACTCATTCTTGGACAGCTTCATGGAAACAAGGTGATCCCTCACATACTTCAACTGTGGCATTAACCCATACCGGGAAGGTCTTAAACTGGCGAGTCCCATTCATGGATATTATTTCCAACATCGAGCAGGTTGGTACATTTAGTAGGATTTCCGTTTCTCAAGGATATTTGTATGGCTGATACATTTTCACTGGCTTGTTTTTTTGCACGGATTTGAAGAAAGGACCTGGTATAGTTATCCTGAGGTTTGATTCGTTGTTTGGACTCGGTCAAGGTGTTCTAGTCCAAACTGTCACACCTGTGGAACCTCTGATGCAACGAATGGTTCACAGATTTTACTTCAGTAATCCTTGGCTCAAGATTGTTGGGAAAATCTTCCTCTACGGCGAGAATGTTCAGGTATGTGAGCCAATAGACATATTTCAGCACAGAAATTTTCCATGCACTCGTTGCTGCATTTGTTTGTTTGCAGCTTGAACGAGACATAGCCGTGTGGAACAGCAAAAAATTCATACGTCATCCGCTGCTAGTGAAAGAAGA